CTGGTGACCACAAGCCCCACGTTGTGAGCGCCCAGCCCGGTGGGGAAATGCCGCGTCCCGCCGGCGGCGCAGATGGCCCAGGTCTGCCTGGGGCAGCCGCCCGCGCCCGGCCCTGAATACCCGTTTTGTTGGCCAGGCTGGGGCAGGACTAGCCCCCACACTGCCCTGGCCCTGCTGCTCCATGAATACAGGCAGTGTCTGGACGCAAGTGCTGCACTTCAGGGCCCTGCACCCGCTGTCCCGGGGGCTCCCAGGCAAAGGTGACCCTGGGGCTCCCTGGGACAGGGGCTGATGTGTGCTGGGGCTCCTGGCCCCCAGCCAGCCCAGCTGTGCATCTGCAGGGAGATGAAGAAAGCCCCTGCGTCGGGCTGAGCAGAACTTGGCCACGAGAGTGGCCTGCGGGCAGCCCTCTCCTCCTGCCTTGCTGTGCCCTGGGTGCTGCTGGGGAAGGGGTGTTTGCAGGTGCCCCCTGCCACCCCGAGGGGCTGCCGTGCCAGGGGCTTGGGGTGCTTTGGAGCTGGCAGCAGCAAGCCTGGGAACAGATTTCTGTTTCCACTGGTGAGTGAGTCAGCGGCAGCACCGCCAAGGCCCGCGGGTCCCCTCCCTTCCCTCCGGCCACCGCCACCACCCACCACCCGCTGCCCAGCCCTTTCCCACAGCTGCCCAGGGTTGTCAGCCTTGGCACCTGTGGCTCCACGTCACCTCACATCCCTGCATCACCCTGCAGCTCTCCAGACACTGAGCAGGGCCCCTGGTGGCACCAGTGATGTGGCACATGTCCCAGCACAGGCGGCCAATGGGTGGGGGCACAGCATGAGGGCTGTGGCACTGGGACTGAGCCTCCTGCTCCCCATGGAGGACCTGGGGACTGCTGGGCTCTGCCAAGAGGCTGCTGGTGTGGCTGGGCACCACGTCCCAGGCACAGCTCTCTGCTGAGCCCCTGGTCCTAGGCCTGGCTGTGCCTGGATAGCTGTGGGATCCTGCAGCTCCTGGGGTGGGACAAGGACTCAGGTTTTGGTGCACCCCCAGTGGGTGCCAACAGGCTGCAGCCATGGACAGGCTCTGGCCAGGATGTCCCTGGCACTGTGCCCTGCTCACTGTACATCCTGTTCACCCAAAGACTGGCCACCCCTGGCTCACCTCAGCCCCGAGGCAGTTCTGTGCTGGGGCACCATGGGGAGAGCAGGACGCCAGCCTGGGCAGCGGGGCCAGGAATGAGGCAAAACCACCACAAACAAACCAACCCAGCCAGTAACTGAGAAGGAGGTGGGGGGGGGATCAGGGCTCACTGCCTGGCTGCACCGAGGGCAGCCGTGCCCGCGGGAGGGGACTTTGGGGCTGAGGGCTGCGGCACCAGAGCCACCTGCCCAGACGGCCTCGGCTGCCCTTCCCAGGCGCCACATTGCTGTCACGGGGCCCTTGGGCACCACAGCCCCCCAACATCCCTGTCTCAAGCTTCATTTGCTGCTTGCTGCTGAACTGAGAGATTTTAATCTTTTAATCACGTTATGAGCCGAGGTGGTGCCGGCCACGCACAGGAGGAATGTCTGGAAGTCAGCAGCGCCCGTCGCGGTGGGAGCCCATCCTGCCCCCACCCACATGTCCCCACCGTGTACTGCTTGGGGACCCCCATGCTCCCCAGCCTGCCTTGTCCTGCCTGGGACTGCAACTTGCACCAGGAAAAGGCCCCGGGACCAGAGACCAGGACCAGGCATCGGGGACGGGTGCCAGGACAAGGATCAGCTCGCAAAGGGCTGCTGGGGCTGAAGCTCCCCGCGGCAGCCCAAACGACCCAACACAAGGTAGTCCTCTGACCATGCAGGTTTCATCCCCCCTTCCCATGTTTTCTGACCGAGGGGAGCAGAGGGGCGACCGCAGCCCAGCCCTGCGCAGCACGGAGCCACGGCAGCCCCTGCGGAAGAACAACAAAGCCCTGGAATTAGAGATGTACTGGGAGTTTACTTTACCGCAAAAAAATGTCAGAAATCCGTATTGTTTGGACAGGGATTTGCTGGGGATCGCTAGATAAAAGCCTGGCAGGGACCCAGCCCGGGGGGAAAAGTCGGCCGGTTCCTTTCTGTGGCGAGGACTCGCGGCCAAGCGAGGGGAGCAGCGCAGCGCTGGTGCGGGGTCCGGGCCGAGGCAGGGCGGGGGCTGCTGGGGCCGCCGTGAGCCAGAGCAGCACCTGGGAGCAGCGTGGGTCCAGGGAAGGGGGTGCCAGGCTGCCCACGCCTGGCACCGACCGGCTTCAGGTCTTTGCAGGGGAAAACATTTCCTCCTCCTGGGACACCGCCTGGCTCCGCGGCACCGA